AACAGCTGGGTAAAGGCACCCCGCAAGCAATGAGCTTCTCGTGTACCGTCTTCTGGATAGGTTATGTTAGGGTTGTGGGTTTAAGATTTCACCAGCTGGCGGTTTTGAACTCTTGGTCTGTTGTTGTCGGATTGCTCGGTTCTGTTCGCATACTATCTGCAAAGAGGATATTTATGTGTTTTCCTTCTGCCATATGCATTGACATACATCGGCTGCAAGATTAGTTTCAACGTACATTACAGAATAGGGTTTCAGGCTTTCTTGGCCTGGCTGCCTTTTGAGTACGTGCTTCTCGGGTGGTTTAGGATTTCAGTAAAGTGTGCATATCTAGATTTTCACGACTGTACAACTCATGTTGCAGCTATTGTTCTTACAGCTGCATGTAGTTGGGTCCGGCGTGATGTCGACCTTTAGTCGCCCAAAAAATTTAAAAAGCAAGTCTTAGACCATGTGAGAAGAAGCTCCCCCCCATGTACATCTTGAGTTATCAAACCCTTCACCCCTAACCAGAGTAGACTCTTAAAGGAAACACTATAGATCCTTGCACGCCCTCACCCTCAGGTGTAGGATTTTTCCCCGCCCCTTGCATTTCCAAAGCCAACAGTCCCAAATCAGAAACTCGCTGATCCTAGACCCTCAACCCTAAACCCTGCAGCCTGAAACCTTTCCGAGGTTTACGGCCTGGGTGCTTGCACGGCGATGATGACCATCATCGGGCTGACTGCCTGGTACCAGGTGCATGTCTTTTGGTGTTCGAGAAGACTGCCCTTCATAGGGCCGAGTATCGGCTTGGAACTATCAGTCATACTGTTCCCTTTTTCCCATATATGGGCTTTCTGGGAGGGGCGAGGGGGTTCGGGGTTGTCTCGAGAAAACTGAGCTTTGCAACTTTTTGGGGGCTGTCGCGGAGCCCAGCCTGTGACCCATTGTGATCTCGAAGACTCGTCTTAAGGCCGGTGATATCTTAGCGGCCAGTAAACATATCTTAGCTCCTAATCCCTATGTCGTTTTTTCGTAGAGCTGCATTGCAGAATGCGCCTACAGTAGCCCCGATTTAGCTTTAGAACATACCCCAAGGCCCTCATCGTGCAAAGCCTCATAGGCAAATGCCCACTACAGTAGCAAAGCCGGGCTTACCTAGCTGAGGGTTCCGCTCGAAGTAACCCGACTCCGAAGCCTAAGCCCTCACTGCTAAACCAAACTTCCTTAGGCTTCCACATACGAACAGGCCCTAAGCTCAAAACCCAATGCCCTCGTCGTATGAAGCTGAACCTTCCACCCGCTTCGACGCCCTCGCTATAGGATGTACTTAGGGTTCCGTTAAAGTTTAGGGCTTTGCCGGAGTTCGGGGGCCAGGGTTGAAGGATTGTAAATGCTCGGTTTTTACAGGGAGAAGCTCAAACCTGGAAAGGTGATGATGGCTGCGTTCATGGAGCCACCTGCCAGGCACTCAGCCCTCAAGCACCCGGCTGCTAGAACTTGTGTTTCCTGGGGGGGGCTGAGTTGTACGGTTTTGCTTTTTGAAGTCAGAGTTCAAACTCACAGACTTTGTGTAACGAGGCTTCAGAGGTCTCTGGCCCGGGTTTGAATGTGCATGGGCTCGCCCTGACCAACCCCTGCTATGACAGATTGCTAGTGCATGCGCAGAAACCCAATGTGCCTGGAAGTTCGTTCGGGCTTTAACAAGGGCAGCAAGGGCTTACATCACAGTTTGAGATGGTTGTGGCTTAAATGGAGCATCCACGGCTCCTCTTAAACCCGAAATCCACATCCAGAACCCTAAGCACCCACGCCGCCCGATTTTCCTTGGAGCCGAAACCCAAAACACATCAAGCCTTGAATCCCGCGGCCTTGAACCCCAAAATGCTATGTGATCACTGTAAGCCATTAACCCCAAACTTGAAACCCCGAAACGCCACATCCTAGACCCCAACCACTGAACCCTGAACCCTAAGCCCTAACCAAAACCCATCGACCCGGAGACCAAGCAGCTCAGAGACCACGTAAACTCTACCACCAGAAAACCCTAAACAGGCCCTAAATCTCAAGCACCGTATGGTTTGTTGTGCTTGTGGTTTAGGATTCTGTAAACCTTGAGGTCATCTCAGTGCGTTTTCGTGATTGGGTCTCTGAGGCCATTGGCATTCCTCCCTGATGCACCGCATCCCACCGACGCAAGCGCCCAAAAGAGCCATTTCAACACGTGAACGATTAGCAACAGCATTCCCCAGAGTTCCCCCTGATAAGTAGCCCCAACCCTGCATGCCCTAATTACCATGGACGCAGATCCAGAACCCAGCACCCAAGCATTTACTCCTACACCTTGTCGCTGGATTATAGGCCCTCGATCTCTTTAGGTCTAGGTTTTACAGGTGGTGTGGGCGTGTAGGATACTTGCAGGATCTATAGCATTTCGCGTTTAGGCTTGGAGGTTCAAGACGTTCGGCAGGTTCGGATGGGTTCGAATTGTAGTTTTTCGGGTGTAGGGCCCAGGGCCAACAGCAATTGCTCAATCCTGTTGTCCACCACCGAGTTCTGCTGTCTCCACCTTCACGACCATGACTAACTGTGATCAGTGCACCAATCATCTTTGTCCGTTTTTCTGTAAGCTTACAAGATACGGGGCCCGTGCTGCAGAAAGCTGCACCGGCTAGTTTTTAATTGCGCAGTGTGAATGTTAGGCACAGGAGAGCAGAGCTGTCGACGCGGGCTTTCTATGGCACATAGGCCGACAGGGACAGCCGTGAAACCCGGGCCCCAAAGCCCAGTCCCAAGGAGCGCTCCTTTTGGCTCTTAGTCGTGGCGTGGGGTGGAGGAGAGACAAGGCGCGTCCCACGCGTGGCGGGTGGTCCTGGGTCGCGCTCTCATCGCCGGTGGAAGCCACAGTGGATTTGGACCCATCAAAACTTAAAGCAGAGAAGAGCAATCGAAGGTTTGTCGCTTGGTGCCCCCGTCGGATGTTCCTTGGCCCACCTGCCACGACCCCCGCACCACTCGTCCGTCGCCGGGTCGCCCTCCCCCTCGGCCGTCTCGGTCACGTCGTATTCCTCGGTACCCCGCTGGGGTCGAAGTGGGCAAAGTTAATTCAGGACCCGGCGTGATCAGCAGAATACGTGCAGCAGAAAGTAATTACCCTACTACACCCGAAAACCTGACGTGTTGTAAACTCCGTTCGACCCTCAACACCCCGAAGTTGTGGAAACCTAAATCAGCACTATGGGGTTAGCCCAAAACATCCAGCACCAAGCGAGAAAGTCCACAGAGTCCAGCTGCTCTCCAAGCTCCGGCACGTGAAACTTCAGGCAGTTCAGGGCTCATTGATTCGAGGGCTTATGGAGTACGGTTCAGGGTTTAACTTAGGCTTAGAGAGTCGAGGGCGTAGCATCCAGGGTTCTAGGGATGGCTAGAGTGTTTCGAGGGACGTGGAGGCCGAACGTCGGTCGTGTTTGCCGTTGCTTCTGCCAGTTGTTACTCACTAGCTATGTTTGTGTGTGTGTGAGATTGTGCTACTGTTGATGTTGCCTCCATTGGTTCAGTTGTAATCAGCTTCGAAGAGAGTCAACGATACAAAACAGAACACTTCATAACCTCAACTCCTAGACACCCATCATGTGCCGGAGCTCCTCTCTTCTGTTGCAGCAAGTCACTGCTGCAGATGACCAGTTATTCTCAGTCAGGCGTGGAGTTTAGGTTTTAGCAGTGGTAAACCGTTGAATGAGAAGAACACGGAATCCTGGCAGTTGCCCAACCTTCCATGGGGTTGTGGTGAAGGGTTGGGGTATAGTCTGATCATATTTCGTTACGGGGGTGGTGTCTTTCTACAGCAGGAAGTGTTCATGCTGCAAAAACAAGAGTCTCTTAGATCCTGGGGGGATTAGGGTTAAGGCCCCGCCTTGGCAACGAAGAGGGTTGTTGAAAAGATTGCAGGGTTGCTTCTACATGTCTCCATAAGGCCCTGCTATTTGGGGTGTTATAGACGGGCCGCTTATGGCGAATTCCCTCGAAACTCCAACCTGTCAGCCTGCAGAAGTCTGAAAGTTCGTTCGTGGGGCACGCGACTTCGTGCCACCCTGCTTGCGCAGAAAAACTGAGCCTGGTTCAACAAGTGGACTGTGCTTGATGATATCATGCCAGCTTCCCCTCATTACAATCGGATCTCTGATGGATAACCTCCATAATCTCAGCACGCCACTATGATTCAGACTCACTGCGCCCCAAAGCCTATACCGTGTGCCGTATACCCTTACCCCGTAAACCCTGGCCCGGGTTTTGGGGCTCTTCATACTTCACAAATCCTGAATCCTGCGCCCCACATGCCCTGTACAGCGCCAACCCTGCAAAAGTCCACAGGCATATAAGCCCCAAGGCCTATAAACCATAACCCTGATAAACCCTCCACGCTCGAATCGCAGAAGACTTATGTTTGCTCAGGGATTTCTAGGGCCGAGCTGAAGGCTCGGAGCTTAATAAATTGAGGGGGAGGCGACAAAACCCTTTGGGATTTTTTTGGTTTAGGGTTCACGGTTTGGGGTCCCGGGTTGGGGCTGAAGGTTTCGATATTCAGGGCCGGGGCGCGCATCGCCTCGGATCTGAAACAGAACACGCCGGAGACTGCAAACCCTGAGCCTAATGAATGTACAGGACCCTCAGCGACCGTGAGTCTTTATGATGGGTCCTATGATCGACTTCGTTGACAAATCTTTCAATGGCTTGCAGGGCGTTAGGCCGATTCTGAAAATCCTTTGGTCTGCTGCAGAACACTATCCGAAGTCGTAGGGAGGCATTGACTTTCAGTTGTGGTGCGAGGCGCTGTTGACCTTAGCATTTTGGGGGTCTAGGGTGCAGGGCCGGAAAGTTCTAGGCCTGAGGTCTAAGGTTCAGTTGCTGAGGGCCCCTAAACCCATGGGCCCCAAAACTATACTTTGTATACTTTATTATCCTATTCTATACTATATACTATATACGAATATGCACCAGACGCAAAGTCGGATCTGTGCCAGGAGCAGCCCGCCAGCGAGGCGAATCAGGCGCTCCTCGGCGACATCGAGCTGGAGGCCGATCCATGTCCGTTGCGAAAGGTACCATCTAAACCTCTCGAGCTATCTATGGTACTATCATGACACGATCCATCTACTCAGCTGTCTGTCTGTCCGTCCGTCCGTCTGTCTCTGTCTAGATTACACACATGCACATGGAGTGGTAGTCAGAGGGTTGAGCAGCTTAGAGTCTTAGAGATTCTGCAGATGTTAGAGCCCTTCATTCTCCATGCCGAACCCTAAGCCTTCACACTCACCTGGGCCAAAGCCCTAAGTGCCGAACCTTGAAAACACTCAAAGATTCACCCGGAACCTCCACCTCCTAGATTGTCCTAAAACCGTGAACGCCGCAGACATAACCCCTGAAGCAAACTCTACAGCCTGAAGGGAATTCCGTAAAGCAGGTCATGGAGCTTCGAGCTAGCTTGGAGTTGAAAGGCATCCACCGCGATGCCATTCAGGACGGTTTTGGGCTGATTGGTTGGCTCTAGTGTGATGAGGTCCTTGTGAAATCCTTCACGCGCCGGAGCGCGTTTCGAGTTCTTGCAGTCATTCTACAAAGTCTTCTCGAGAATACTGCCTGCTTCTACGCTGCTTTCGCAAGAGGGCGAGACAGTTTTGATCAGACTCTCTCACTCTGAGAAGTCCCAAAGTCCTAGACCTTGGAACCGTTCGATCTCGTTCCCGGCCCTCGCGTCATTAGGGTTTAGGGTTAGGGATGTCGTTTCAGACCCCTGGTTTTGGATCCAACAGCACAAATCCCTTGGATCTTGGGAGGAGGCTTGCAAGAAGAAGCGGAAGGAGATGCTTGAGGCACCTTGGGCCACCTGGGGCACCCTAAAGTAGTGTTATGCTACTGTCCTACTGTGTGATCTGCGTGATGGTACTATTATCATACTGCACTATTCTGCTATTAGAGTATTGTGCTAAGCCTTATTACCTTAAGCTTAGGGTCTCTGGTGTTTTGAACTTGGCGTGGGTCCGGTTAGGCTTTTCGGATCCATGGTCGGTTTAGGGGGCCAGGCTTTTAGGATCTGTTTTGTGGCCTTCAAGGGCGATTCGCCTTCCAGCTCTGCCTGCCCCTGCGACACCTCGGACCGGGCGAAGGTCCCAAGCCCCTGACTCACTGAACCCCTTACCGTCAGCCAATACAGCCTACACCAGCAATCCTGAACCTGAAGAAGCGAAATTCCAGCCTGCAGAATGGCCAGAACGAAATGGCCAGAACGGTTTGGGGTTTAAGGTTTAGGATTCAGAGGCTCAGGTTTTTGTGGTTTGCACGTTTTTGAGATTTAAGGTTTAGGTGATAAGGCGTCCAGGGTAGGGTTAAAGGTGAGCGTGGATTGGGTTCGGGCAAGTACTTCTCAAGTGCATACCCGATGGTCCGTCCTGTAAAGGGACTACCTGACTACCCGCATATGGGAGCTTCAGAGAACAAAGTGGGCCCTGGCAGTGGGACGGAATACCAAGACCCTTGTTATTCGGGATCGGGAGGGCTGTCATTCCAAGAACTCGAAACCGTATAGCGACTCGTCAAAGGGCGGCCGTGTCCTGGGTATGTAGAGTTTATGATTTGAGGTAGCCGCAGGTAGCGAACTCTAAGACTTTGGAGCAGGACGCTCAGGGTTCGGGTTTCAAGCAGTCGGGGGTTTAGACTTGAGTGCAGGTTTTCTGTTCGTGCAGGGATTGGGTGTACGCGTCTGGAAATGCTCCTAAACATGTCAAGAAGCGGCAGGAGCACGACGCCAAGCGTGGTGATGCCAAGAAGGCACCGGTTGCTTGCAGTTCACTCGGCAACAAGCCCCTAGCCGCCCAAACTCAATAGGGTCCAGCCAGACGCAGAGTCGGAGCTCTAAACCCGAAGCAGTCGGCTGGGCATCCCTGCGACCCTGACCTCTTCCACCCGAAACCCTAAGTGTAAGTCCGAGACCCCAAATCCAAACCCGTTTCTGTCCCTTTTCGATTATGCTGCAGTGCACCCTGCAAAGAACGCTCCAGCTCGGCAGGCTGCGCGAGATGGAGATCCCAAGGCCCGTGGCCAAAAGTTGGGTTTTACGGCGTGGGGGCTCGTATAATAAAAAGGGATGTTTGGGTGCTGTTGAAACTGGCGGTTTAGAAGGGTAGAGTAGCTTCGGCAAGTAGGACGGCCAAGTCTAGGGATGAGGGTTTCGCGTTGCAAGGTTGCAAGCCCAAATACCGCAATCGAATAGCTTGACCTGGGCTTCAGTGGCCAGTTAGACGTTAGACCATTCCTTTGAGATGTTTGCACATTCATACTGCAGCATGCCCCTGGACCCCATTTTGATTTGGAAGGCCCTGTGTTCTAAGATTTGACTTCCATTCGGCGTAAGGAGTAGTTCAGTCGTATTTTCGGACCTGGCCGTTTGGGCGTGGCAGCTTCTGTACAAAATCGTTTTTTAGCAGGAGCAAGGGCCTTCAATAAGAACCAGGCACCCGACTGGACCTCACCGGCCCGAACGCAAACTTGGCTTGACCTACGCCAAGTGCTCTGAGCCAGCATCCACTGCGAATACCCTGCAAGGAAGATAGTAAGCATACTAGTCAGTGTTGTAAAGTCCATGGCCGTCAAGACTAGCTAGAAGCAGGGCATAATAGCAGCACAGCTCAGGTATGCTGCTACAGCAGATATGATAACTTCCAACCAAACAATAAACCACAATTTCCAATATCGGTAACGACTATTGCGATGGACTTAACCTCGTTGTCTCAACCTCTGAAGCAGGATGAAGGTGTTTTTCGCATGACAAGATGTCTTTGCAGTCGTTGGTTTAGGGTTTGCAATTGAGGGTGTTGTGCTCACAGACTCGAAACAAGAATCGCTAAGCAGGTGCAGGAGCGGGAGAAGGATCGCGAGAAGGCTTTCGTAGCGGCGGCTTCATTTCGTCTGGTGGTTGAGAGTTTAGCATGCCGCAGAAAAGGGGCCACGACAGAAGGAGTGTTGTAGGGCTGAAGGTTTAGGAATGGGAGTGTTTTTACCGGGGATCCAGGGTACACTAGGAATCAAGAGGCCCCCTATCAAGAACATATGGCTAGGTTGGAGTTTTTGATGCATTTCAACCGCGCACTCCAGTGGGGGTGGTAAGGGATCTAAGGTTTGAACTAGGGTGTAAACTGCGGATGTCCTCTTTAGGTCTAGTGGTGGGGGTGTGGGGGACAGGGAATCAAGTTTAGGGTTCAGTAGCAGTTCAGGGTTTAATTCAGGCATTGGGGTTTCGGTTTTAGGTTTTGGAGATTTGGGTTTCGAGTTCACGTTCGAGCACTTTGACATCAGCCTGTGGTTGCGTGCTCCTCTCTAAATCTCACGCTTCTGGGCGCTATGTTCATACTACAGTGCTGCCGACTCACTGCGTCTTGGTTTTTCGGGCTTTTGGTGAGCCATCTGTCAGTTACCATGGTAAGGAAGCAGCGGTTTTTACTCTGAAATGCCAACATTTCTGGTAGCTTGCTACGAGATACTGAAAGTTATGGTGACGGCCAGTTTTTGGACAACCCAGGCTGGTACATGTCCTTTACCACGTCGTACTCACTTCGTTTGCGTCGGCAGAATGTTGTGATCTTCACGAATTCAGAGCCGTTGGGCGCCATTCAGGGTTTGGGGTTTCGTGCTGCCAGCCTTGGAGACGACATGGAGTGCGGCAAGCCCTAGTCACTTTCTTGTACAAAGCATCAGAGCTTGGTTCAGCAAGTAACTGACATCTGATCAAAGCGCCTCGACAGTAGCAAGGAGGTCTAATACAGTTTGCGATTTCTTCATCGTTTCCATTCCTATTCCAGCTCGATTGGAGCGCTGCGTAAGCCAACACCCCTAGTTCGTGCTTGCAGATGTTTATAAACAACAACCCTGGGCCCAACAACCCCAGACCCTGCAACAAACTAATAAAGCTTGCAAACCCAGCACACGCCTTTCCACGCTCAAAGAGCTGCTAGCAGGAGTGCTTGACGAGGGAAGGCTGAGGCCCTACAGAGAATCTTGAGCCAGAAATAAGCCAGTTCGCATGAAAGCTTTGCGCCTTCTAGAGACCTTGTCTCTGGACCACAAAACCTTTTAGCGTCTAGGATCTAAGCACTACTGTAAGCTTGCAGCCGAAGTGTCCGAAACAGATTGTACGCGACCAGGAGAAGGAACTGCAGCTCCAGCGAGAAAAGGAGAAGGAGCGGGTCGGACCCTAACATATGCGAGTAACGTGCCTACCGTAAACTCCTGAGTGATGACACCCCCGTTCTCTTCGTATGGGCAATCGTGGCGATGCTAGCATTGTGGCCTTGGAAGCACGGAGGGATATCAATTAGGGTCTGCATGATCTTCGCGGCTAGGGTTTGGGGGCCAGGGTCATCTCCTTCTCGATATATAGGAGGGGTTGTGCATGATCGGCTGTTAGAGGCTTTCGGGAGCGAGTTTTCAATCTACCTGAGCCGTTCCAGACGGGGGTAAGGGGTGGGTGAGACGACGGGTTGGGGGAGGTGGCAATACCCGTCAAGACAGGCGCATATGCGCCTGAAACCTCCAGTGGAAAACCAGAAGCTTGGAGCCTCGACCCTGTTGGCATATAATCATTAGTATTGTTATCATTGTTATCATTTTTGGTTCTATATTCTCTTATTGTTTGTTATTATTGTTACTACTATCATCATTTTTGGCTATTTGCAAAGCAGCTCTCGGAGTCCCGCGTGTTCAGGCCATCAAGGACCCCGGGGAAAAAGGTTCAACAGCCGTACATCGACGCACCCCCTGGGTTAGTCCCTAGAGCCCTTGAAGGCACCCGAAGCTCAACAAGCTGCTTCATTGGTCTGCAATATTACTGTATGGCTCCTGAACCTTCAACTTCAGAGGACGTGGGTAACGCTTGGGTTTTTTGCCTCGGGACTTGGATTTCAAGGTCTTAGGGCTTCGGGATTAGGCTCCAGCGTTCACGGCGCGATTCTGTTTCTTGCGAGGAGAAGGAGCGTGACAAGAAGCTGCCTGACAAGATCAAGAAAGAGTTGTTCTGCGTTCGGGCTCCCTTTTAGGTTTCCTACAGCCTATAGACCCTTGCTTTGTTTGTGTCGTGCGACGGTCGCTTGCCCCGGACCCAGCATTTGGACCTAGTACACATGGGTCCTAAAGAATTCAACCACTCGGCTTTTCGGTGATTCCCTGCTTCTTTTATTGAGGTTTACGGGTTGGGGGTTTGCAGGTGTAGGGTTAACAAGTATAGTGGTCATGCACGAGCACACATGCATGTGTGAAACAGAAGCTTTATTGTATTATACGTATGTGTGCATGCATGCCCGCATGTACATACATATGTAACCATATACATATACACACGTGTATTGTGCACACACATGTGACATGTCTTTATACACCACATACATATACAAGTACATGCAAATACAGATATACGCACATAGATGTGTAACAGGCATGTCTGCACAGGTTCGCACCTTGCATGTAAGCAAGCAAGGAAATTCACAAATGTGGGCAGCTATGCACGTGCAAAAGCTGGAGCAACCATGGCATCTTGCATGAGTTGCGGAAAACAGTAAGGGTGGTTTCATGTGCGGAGGAACCCGCATGGCAGTCCATGTCCGGGCTCAGATCAATTTTCGCAGCTTCAAGAATCATGTCTTGCCCAGCATATTTGCTAGTTTTGGCTTGGCAGATGAGGAAGTCAATACTGTTTCCTTGGTTTGAGATGGGAGGATCCGGTTTCGCTGTGTCCAACAATAACATGGTTTGGTAAGTATCCCGGCAGTCCCGAACATAAATGTCCCTAAGCCCCAGACCAAAAGCCCAAAACAACCTTGGAACACTAAACCCTAAGGAAGAAGCAGGAGGAGAAAGAGGCACTCAGCGTGCGATGTATTTGGAGGGAATTAGCAGCATGTCAGATCCACGCTTCAGGGTTTGCGGTTTGAGCATTCGACGAATAGGAAGCAGGGTTTAAAACATCCACTTGGAAACAGTTGTGCGGCTGTGCAGCAGCTTACGAAGGTTTGAAGCTACATGGGTTTAAGGGCTCACGGGGTTAAGGTTTTTGGTTAGAGGTCTGAATTAGCTCTTCTGCATCTCTCTCACAAAGCCCCAAAACAAGTCTTTTCTCAGACCGGCGGGCCAGGTTCTGCAGTTCAGGTCCACATTCAACATATACCACCACTTCTACTACTACTACTACTACTACTACTACTACTACTACTTACTATTTACTACTTACTACTT